TACAAGATTCCTCAAAGCAAAGTCAAGAATGACGACATGCTCAACTTGGAGCTTTTGGATCAGCGTATTGAAGACGAGAGCCGCCTCGAAGAAGTGTATGATCTTGTAAACATCATAGCAGTTTAAACTTTTTAAATACAGATTCATTATACTATGATTTGTATGACTGTGAATGTTCGTCTGCAATAGTTCCCAATCAGACTAGTATAATTTTGTTTCACAAACGAGAAAATCTCGTTGCGAATGGATGCACGTGGACTCAAGACAGTCCCCGAGTAAAACGCCGACATGCGTTGGAGTAACGAATGGCTTCGAGTGACCATATTGGACCCACCAGAACCAACTCATGGACGATCTATTGAGTTGTCCGACGCACGATGTGATGCATGTGCTCCGTAGACCAGCTGTGTGCCGACGTCATTGCCTTGTTCGTCCCGCCTTGAGCTGTCGTCAAAGATACTGAGCTTTGACGGCGTCGCAATGTCGTCGAGCCAAGGTCGACGATGGATGCCGCGGGAGGCCAGACCGAGGGATACTCCATGCAGTCGGCGCCGCCCCACTATCAGAACTATGGGTGGCAGCCTTGGAAATTTTTAAGATCGTCGGATTCATCTTGTCGTAGAAAGCTGACGTGGGATCGCGGCGAGTGGACGGCCGAGATTTTGACCAAGCAGTACGACGACGTCCCCGAAACAATCCTCCAGGTACGAACGAGATCGCGTGGCACTCTAGCCCACGATGGTAAAGCTCCACCTCATGTGATTGGGTTCTAGCCTCTCTTGACGTGGGATTTGGATTTTCGGGCAGTGACGTCGGTAACGGTCGTCGTGGTACTGCGGTCGGCGTCTGGGTCGTTCTGGGGGCTCTAGCGCCATACGCAGGCTGTGGGCGTCGATAACATGCTGATTGTGAAGGCCATGGGTCCATCGGACGCGGTGGCATCTCACAACAAGTACAGGTTGCTCCATACAAGATTTTGAATGCTACGAACTCGGTCTGTGGGTTGACAGTGGCAATCATCCATTAATATACCAGACGGGCGCAGTCATTCAATTTGCATCACTATTTATCGAGCACACAAAGGCGTTCATCTGCGGCAAGCCGTGTAACTTGCTCGACCACGACACGAACCTCGTGTCGACGGTGACGTGCCCTGCCCACTGCGAATTCAGCGACTGGATCGCATTCTTTTGCGACAAGGTGTCTAGTGTCGCCACGTCGACACGAACGATCGCCCGTGAGCCTCTCAACGGCGGAAACTCGCGTCCGGAACTTCAGCGCATCCAACACTATGGCCCACCCGCGTGCGAAACTGGCGACTGGACAACGCAAGAGTGCTCGGCAGAGACGTGCACGGCTGTCCGCACCCGCGAGCAGCTGTACCCGATCCGTGGCCCAGGCAATCCGTGCAGCCCGTACAAGAAGACACCGTGCAAGTTGGACGCGGTTCTGTCCCCTGGTCCGAGTGGAGCACGTGCGGCGCCACAAGACCCACACGCGCGAGATCATTTCCAGCGCGTGTAACTGTGACATCTTGGCTGCCCCCAACGTCGACAAGACCACGGACGGGTGCGGCAGCATCATTTGAGTCAGAACACCCGGTTCTGTCGAGAACATTCCCACTGCCCTGTCCATCAGGTCGCAGGATGGTCCTGCAACAGTAGGAGGTTTTTGTGCCTTTTAGAGGCTTTTTCCTCATGTCGTAGTCAGTTGAAGCGAAGGCCACGTCACATCATTATGATGTCGTGACCTCATTGGCCAGTTGGCCTACACTGACTGATGGGCTT